TTAGGAGTTTCTACCTCAGGGTGATTAGAAACGCCTGACTGAACGGGCAGGTTCTTTTAAGATCGCAGCAGAAGAATCTACTGTGGAAGCACAGATTTACAATGATTTTGTGCATCAGATGGGCAGACATGAGCAAATCATCCACTCACACAATCACGGCTACAGATTCTCAAACGAGCTTCGAACACGTCGGAAACGATACTCGTCCTTGCAAATGAATAGAGCGGCAAGACTTGAAAAATTGCCAGAAAGTAATGCCAAACTATAGCGACTGAAGTCTTTAGAATTCTCGCGGTGCCGTTTAGATTTATCCGAGGTCCGAGTGAATGGATGTCCGGACCTTTAGAAGTAGCCGGGCGGTGATTCGTCAGTGCCCGGGCCGCCTGACAGCCCCATCGGTCACGGTAATGACCCTGGGACCGAAGCGATCAAATGATCAAAAAGTATGAAAGGGCTACAAATAACCCTCCCGGGGGCGGGCTGGTCAGCACGACTACAACAGAGGGACGGGCGAAATGGTCGCTAAAGCTGGACCCGGAGCGTGGGAAATGGTCTTCAACCTGTCAACTTTCTATTGTCAACTGTACATCTGATCATAGTTCACCGGCCGGGCACTGTCATAAACCAATGTGTGTGTACATACTGAATGGTGTGAATGTCCGCAGTACTTGTCATACTTGTAGTGGTCAACCTAGGCTTGAAAGATACTTGTATGGTGTGGCGGAAAGGAGAAGACCATGCAAAACAAAAAAAACAAGATACGGGTCTAAAACATTGATAACTGGGTCTCATCTACGATAAGAAAAGAAAAATGTCACTGAGATCAATGCCTAGGCAGAATTGATCTCAGGCCTTCAATGAGACTCCAGCACTCGGGAATCACGTGCAGTTGATGTGGTCAGCAGCAAAAGCTCCCTCGACTTCCCCGGTCAAGGGACCGGTAAACGTGAGCGGACATTGAGGGACCATTAACTCAAGTTTGTGCTGAGTACGTTAAAGGGTGCACGATTGTGCATTGATTTAGTGAACGCCGGTTCATTTGTCACCAAGGCCTTACAGAGGCTGCTTGAGGCAGTCTGAATGATGAATTGGACGTTGGATTCCGCACATATATTCTACTTATAGTTTCAATCACGATTAGGTCTTATCTTTGTCTTCCAGTTTACCTGATGTCATTGGACATTCCTGTGCTTGTTGGCATTTCGCCCGACTTTGCCATTGGACATTTTCACTGACATTAAACACGTTTAGTGCAATTGAATATTATATGCTTCATTGTCCCTTCCCTTTGCATCATCGTAAAACAAAGGCCAAAGAAAAATTACCCTCCACGCGAAGCATCATCATATCATAAACATTCCATCACTATACATCTGATACGTGTATGGTATAACATAACCGACATTAGTCTCAAAGGACGTTCATACATGATAGAGTATAATGTAGACTATGAGGATCAAAAGGATTCGTAGCGTTTTTACTAGATGAATTGCCACGAATGGAAAGATAGGTGAAGGACCCAGCGGCTGAAGGTGAAGGCCCTTTCTCTACCATAACCAAGTTGATCTTTTCGTTTGTATCAACCCATGTTTATACTTGATTAAGTTATGTGCGAACGGTAAGGCGTAAGTACGTATTTTGTAGTGCTGTTACTAGATGATACCAAAAGAAGCCAGCGGCTGCAGATGAGCTCAGGCTCTTGGTCAATGGGAACCAAATCGAGCTTTTCGTCTGTATGAATGGAGGTTTGCACATAAGAAAGCAATATGCAAGTTTAAAGTGATAAAGTGATTTACAGTGTTATCACTGCATCATTTTGTCTGCGGCAAGATCAAAGGCAAAAGGAGTAAGTCGCTGCAGGCCTCGATGACTTCAGTTTCTTCCTCAGTGGGAATCTGCATCAATTTATGTTCGTACTTGACAAAGTAACATGTGAACTTTAAGATGGCTTATAATGTTATTACTAGATAATTAGATAAGTAAGTAGTAGATAGATACATAAGTAAGATCATAGCAAAAGAACCATTCGGCTACAGATGAGCTGTTTCTCTATACGGGGGACCAATCGAGCTTTTCGTCTGAACCAATGCATGTTTATACATAACAAAGTAATATCATAATGTTATTACTAGATTATTACACCAGAGGTAAGATCATATAGCAAAAGAACCCTTCAGTTGCAGATGACCCGAGGCTGTTTCTCTACCAACAGCGAGGGACCAAGTCGAGCTTTTCGTCAGCAATATGAGCGGCTGTGTCTCTATCCCCGGGCCACCCATCAGTACCACTGACGGGATTATTTTCCACGTGGCTGCGGATCTGGCCCGTGCGATATTTCACCTGCCGCGGGGAGGAATTAAAGCGTTCCTGATCCCCCACCGACGAGCTGCTCCGTTCCATTTCAGATATCTTAATGAGGGGCCACTGCCGCAGGCCAGCCACTTAGTGGCACGCAGAGCCTGTTCAGCCTGAACTGAGCACAAACCGTGGAGAGTAATGCGAGCATGTAGGACAATGGACCGAGTGGTACACACGGGTTTCCTTTTTGTGCGGGTCACTCTATACCTGTAATCAGGTGTAAATATTACATGAGATACGGGCTGAGCTCCAGGTAAGCCGATTTGTTTCCCACCTGCAGATAGAGCCGCGGGTCAAAGGTGCGAGAAACAACGTCGTCAATGTCTTATCGCCAGATCTGCGGACTACATCCCTGCACAAAGCCCGCCTTCCTACCCTAATAACCCCGGTAACGGCGCTCTCCTGGCGGACGGTTCAAACCGGGATCCGACACCGCTGCATATGGACGAACCACATCACGTCCGCTCGGCCAGGGTTAACGTGGCGCCGGGTGAACCCACGGACATTAGGGAAGAAATACAGCCGGCTGTTTTCGAGGTTCATGTTTAGATAATGCCCGAAAGAAGACCCGTTTGTTACCGGCCAGCCTTAGAAAGGCAATCATCAATTCTACACACAAAACTGAACACTATATCCGTCACGCAGGCTTTATAACTTAGTAAACTAACTCTGTTGTCTGCCGCTGGGGGACAAGGCGTGTGTGAATACCCAAGTATTGTAACTGCCCATTGGCGTGACAAATACGCCTTGAGGCTCGCGGCGGTAGCTGGTTATATTACATAATATAAATAAATGACACATTAGATATGCACGTTCAGTGAATTCACAGACAATTTTGTACAGTTGCCAATGCATCTGTTTTCTCTTGCTCCAAACTCCTCAGTTCTTTTGGTCTTGTTTTCTAATGTCTCTGTAACTTCGAGTCGACTTTGAAGTTTTCTTAGTGTTTCCTGGTGCCGTAGCCTGGTATCCAGCCTTGTTAGCTTTAGTCCGCTACCCAAGATGGAGCGGATCTTGGGTAGCGGACTAAAGCTAACAAGGCTGGATACCAGGCTATGGTGCCGCCGATTTGACGAGCTGTCTGATTGTGCCCTTGGTTGTGAATGTCAATGAGTGTGTTCGGTGTGCAAGCGTAGAGGTGCCTCAAACTTGCTTAATTAAACGTCGACGGGGTTAGAGTAGAAAATATTAATTAGAACCGTCTGCCATCTCTGTAGCCCTGGGCTGTATGTGATCAAAGCGGTAGGATGTTTCTCATTACCAGCGGCAGTGTTGGAACTAGTATCATATTTTATGTCGCCGATCCATAAAGAAACAACGTGACAAACAGAAAACGGCTCATAAAAATAGATTGATATTCTGAAATGAAATCAGGCTCTGAATTGTAAATTATCATCTGTCGTTTGATCTGTCGAGTGCAAACATAATTTTAGACCGACCTGGGATAACAGGGTATTTTTTTACAGTAGCTTTGTAGCTCACTTCTTCAGCAAGGTTGTCGGCCGTCCTGATTAAGCATTAGCGATGTGATCTGGAAAACTTTCACAATCATGGACACCATAAAGGCTAAGATTAAGAACACTTGAGAAGAGACATCTTCTGATTTCTTTCAAGGCGGCGAGAGGTCCTTTCGGCCCACTGGTATTACGTGGGAAGGAGGTTATCATACGAACAAATCCGTCTGTAAGTGAGAGGAGAGGGGAACCGATTACCTTGGTGATTGGAGTCATTACGGACTCTTACCGGGGTATGAGATGTGACTTACAACTACAGATGCTGCCTCACCCTTCGTCTGGTCCAGAAGGTCGATGTCGAAAGTACTGATTCCTGATGCTGTGACCCATACGACTTGCCAAGTATTGAAAGGACTAACCGTTTCAGAGACCTTGTGTGTGTTGAGAGTCCATTAATCCTCAGCTAACCGACATCTTTCGCATCGCAGTCATATATCAGTCCCTTGGACCGATCCACTGATTATGCCCATAGCGTACATTTTGAAGACGCCCGCCCACCCCCAATACTTTTCTTGACGTACATAGACAAGGATCTGGACATTGTTGTGTAGGCGTGATTCAACACTTGCCGCCATATCTATTCTTTCAAGAGAGTGTTGAATTCTCGTCTAGTGAACCTGCACCGGCAGTCTGGTAAAGTAAACTATGGGGTCCATCTGTAGAGTTCAACCGTACTGTCAGCTGGAGCAACGGCAGCCTGCAAGCAAGCTGGCAAAGAGAATAATTAAAAGGATTGATGTACGTGGATTATTGCGCACTACTACTATAAGTGCACACATCATCTTGGATTACAGGGTAATCCTACAAAATGAACGGTAGCACGGGCTGAGATTTACGATGATGTGTTTTAAACCCGGTCTCAATGATGCTGGCGCGATGACAGTTTCCAATCAAGGCTGGGCTTCTGAAATCATCAGAGCAAAACGAGGAATTAAAAGGCTCATAGTCTGTAAATTATTTCGTTCTACTTTATGAATTTACACTGCATCTTGGATTTAAGTTTAATCACGCTAAACAAATGCTTATATGAGACAAGATTAATCATCGTTTGATTCACATGCAAACAAAATCTTTGCATGATGACAACTAACGCTAGACTTAGTATTCCCTAAACTGCAAAATCATGGGATGAAATATCGACTCTTGTCATCGAGTGGGAACTTTTGTCATGTTGTTAAACACAAGGCAGCAAAGAACACCCTCTAATTGATGACTGATTTCCTTCGCACAATTGGTGTGCGGATGTGATGAATTACAATCATGTATCCCTGTTAAGAATTGCCGCTCTATCTTCTTAAGTGTACCCCTGCGATTGGTGGGGGAGATGATAGATAGAACCTGTACTGATCCTGTGGGAAAGTAGGATCATCTACTTTCTGGGGAAATAGTCAGCATTCATGCCAACTCCCTGTTGCATTATATTTAGATATTATCCGGACCCGTTCCTACATTCAGATTTGAAACCGTCGCCAATAAAATACCTACATGTATGTCAGGGTTGGTATTTTCAAGATATAAAAGACGAGACAAACTACATTTAAAACCACGAAATCCACATATTTTGGTGGGCAGTAGTAGATGGATGATGGCGTAAAAAGCAGCGACAGGATTCATGAGTTGCAGATAAGATTCCAGATAAGCGGCTTCGGGAAGTTTTCCATAATTGAGCCTGAAGCCCAGCTCTAACAAAACTGTGCCCACAGGCGCCACAGAAGATCAAACCAGCGAGTTCTGTATGATGATTTCTCACACTAAACTGGACTGTCTGGCCGGAAAATCCCTCGCAAACTGTTACGGCGAGTCAGCGGAAATTTGCTTCGCTACTTTCCTAAAACTTTGACCTGTAAAGAGACCTCGGGGATCGACGTGGTCTCCTGGGTACATAAAGAACTGTTCTGTATGGCGGGTTTGAAAGAAGTTTGACACTCAGAACAACAGGAAAAAGTAAAACCCATTGACAGCGAGCGCTTGTAAATTTTTCATAGCAGTCCTCTGATTGTTTCCGTATAGAATGCTAATTGCTTCCACCGCTGAAGCCACACGCAAGAATAATGCACTTGTCGTATCTGATCAGCTGTTCCTCCCAAACCACTGGTAATTTTGTATCCCTGGAGACCAGGGGAGTGGGCCTACTCCATCATGCACCGGGCAGAGACAGGTCTGGTCTTTGACTGTAGAGGATGAGAAATTTGTCTTGATTTCCGTCTTGTCTTGGAGTAATCCGGTCCGAGGGAACGGCTGTTTGTACAGGCGCGGCAGGACGACACATGTCGGCAGTTTGACACAAGATTCAAAGTTACAGATAGAACAAACGCCATGGTCAGACTGTGAATACTGAAGGTACCGTCCACATTACAAGTTAACTTCCGACTGCTGCAGTCAATGTCTGTACCCATTAGTTGTAACTCTCAAAACAAATAACAAGAAATACTAGATATTGATTAAACATTGGAATTCGTCAGTTATTGTCCGACGGGGTCCAAATTAGCCACAAGTTGTTTCTTTCTCTGTGTTTGTCTGTCCTGTCGCTCGCCATATTCCTCCTCCCTGATGAAGTGATCTCTGTACACCCTGCCGTGACCAGGTCTCTGCACATCCGGGCGGCGCGGTCGCGAGGACCGGGGTCTATTAGACTCGAGCTGCTGGCGAGTAGCCCTGTAGTCTACATCAGTAATATCTCTTGTTTGTGATCTTTCAGGGCTGTATTTTCCCGGTGATCTGTCCCCTGGTTTCCCCCCGCGATCTACGTGATGATTCTTTAGGTTCTCATTGTATGCTGTACCAGAGTGCGGCGGTCTGTTCTCGGCTCTGTAAGTTCGCAGTTTGCGCTGACTTTCTGTCCGCGGGACGAAGTCCGGGCGAACTCTGTGGTGGTCTTTTAAAGTGGGCGCGTCGACGTGCTGTCTGGAGCCGGAGCGGTCCAACAGTCCTCCCGCGTCATGGGCGTGGTCTGAGCGTCTTCTTGACGTCGTGCCGTGATGCTTCTCCTGCGGAAATAGAGATAAGGACTTCAAGATTGAACGAAATGCATTAATCAATATTCCCCCATGTCTACAGGTGCTTGAGCATGTCTACACGTACAGGAAACGGATGGGATCACTGTAAGGATCTGCATGACTGATGGTTGTACAATCAATCAGATGCTACTGGACATGTTTCCTGAAGTACGCTAGATCTAGACATGATGAATAAAATATCTATACCGCGATTGTACTCTTTTGAGATGACTGCATTGCATAGCGACTGCATTGTACAGTCTCAAAAGGGAAATATGCAGAGCATTTCCTCATTTTAACAGCCTGTAGAATCGCATGGCGCCGGCATTGATAGAGAGCAGAAAGGTGTGATCTCGTTTAGTGCTAACTCCTTAGACATCAGCTTCTGTGGAAAGTTTCCCCTCAGCAGCCATGAGTTTGCTCCCACATCCCCAGTAATGAAACTTTGTAGAACACATCTGAAGCTTGCTTGACGTCATTAACCCGACTGAGTTCCGAGCTCTAAATCCGGGGTTTAGAGCTTTTTGTCAACCTTCATTTATAACGGAACAAACTGTAGGCTACGCATACTTAGAACTTAGAAGTTGGCACATATATCATCTATAAAGGAAACTTGAAAGGAAAGGAAACTTAAGTTACATGTTTGAGAGTCAAGATGGCGACAGGGCGGCCATCTTGCTTCGTGATACAACCTTCTCACCTTGGTACCAGTGTTGGTGGGCAGTTTCTGAAGTTCCCGGATGTAGTAGGTACTGTCCCAGGTCAGACTGTCGTCCTCCCCACACACCCGTCTGTCTAACGTGACGTACTCTTTTCTCACTTCTGTTGGGACTGAATGGACACAAACCAGCGTGATATGTTATCGTAACCATGTCACACACACCTAGAGAGTAAGACACCTAGCTCACACACACTCAAAATTACTCACACAGACACACACACAGACACAGACACATTCATACACGCACAAAGCACACTCACACATACAAACACACAAGACTGATATGCAAGCACAATAAGCACACACTAATATCCCGAAATATGTACCATCTTTATCAGCAAGCTCATTAGATTAAGTATTGGGTCAATCGCCCTGACGAAGGCAGTACAACCGTTCGAAAGATCACCGAGTTTGCATTTGTCAAAACTTTGATAAAAGGTTGACTGACTTCTTCTACATCACAGGCTCGTACCATCAGTTCAGTTGCTTTGATTCTAACGTTTGTAAAATTTGGCTTGCTTTGTTTCTACCCTACTGCTGCAGGGCTACTCTGGACTCCGACGGGAGATTTCCTCCACATTCCGCATCGCCTTGATGCACTAGTCGCCGTTCCATCAGATAGCATGTGCAAGTAATCCACTTAGTAATGCATTTTGCCTGCATATGTATGTATCTACTTAGGTTAATCATTGCTTTATCTTGTTCTGGTTGTCATTGACGATAGTTTGATCAGCCTGCTACTCTTGACCCCTGGTCTGACATTATTGATCGTTAATGTAGAATGTGTTCATCAGTATGTAATGTTGATGGGGCGCCTGTTATCGGCTGCCGCTGTCTGGGCGGGTAAGTCTCTGTAATGCACTTTGTCGCAGTTTATCAATACATAAATCCATAGGAATGATACATCATACCATAGATCTGACTACGTGGTCTACTTTGGACGGAGTCACACATACATTTCCGGCGGGCCTGTCCGATTAACTAGTAAAGGCTGAACAATATGTATGGTGCAATGGTACACTTTCAGGATACAATCATTCTTTTGGTACAATATTATAAGCACACTCACGACTATCTGCACAGTGAAGCTTACTTTCTTGACGGGCGCTCCGTCTTTGCGCATATCTTTTTCTCCTTAGAGAAGTAAAGTATCGATCATCTATACCAATCACCAGATGTTGAAAGATGTGACGTTCTGCCCGGCCTCCTTCGCTTTAATAGCCAACGGCCCATTTGTCTTATAGATCCCGGTTTTCCAGACACAAATTTCGCAGACGTGCTTCCGTCGACCTTGTCGATTTGCCATTTCAAGGAGATTTTTTAAAGAAATTCAAATGACTCGGAAGAAAATAAAATTTCAAAGCTCTATCACGTGAAACTTGATATGCTAATCACTCTAATGCCACTTATATATTTTGAATTATTGATAAGCTTATTTAAATGATTTTGTAAAAGTTACATTTAGCCTACATAAAGAACATGGGATGAAAACTCCCGCTGAAACCAAATATGATACATGAAACCCTATATATGCAATTAAGTGTAGAAATGTAGCTGGTCAGTTCTGGTGGTCATCAGAGGCTGTAGCAATGTGACCGATGAAGGATTACGGACACTTTCAGACGCTGATGAAAAATTACTTGTCACCTATTCATAGGACGGCTACGTTGTATCTTATTTTACACGAATGTCACTGACAGACATGTATTCAAATTTTTGTGAAGATTTTAGGAAAAAGTCTGCGCTTGGTATCGATTGAAAATGTCAAACTCCACACTTTGTTTGACATACTAGTACATATACCCTGTGTTACACAATCTCCCGCTGTCAGGAACTGATTAGGCCCCCTCTTCTAAAGCTTGCGGCCATACACCGCTAACTCAAGAGAGCTAACGTAATTCCCAGAACTGCCAATAGAGGCTCAGACCTCTTTATCACTATGAACACCAGTCCAATAGGAGCTCAGAATTCTCTGTCACTATGGAAACGAACCATCATAGCCGCCAACACAATCGCAAGAGATTGTTGTCAATCTGACAATAACTGGCTCATGTTAGCATATAACCATAAATCAACAGGACTCAGATAGTCCCGATTCTCCTGACTAGAAGTGTTGGCCATCAAGCTTCCAGGGCCATGAGCAGTGAAGAGGCCGGTAGATACGCGATGTAGTCAGGCTACTAGTACTTACAAGGGAAGAAGAGCTCATCACAGGGTGAGTCGTCGTCCACAAGTGTTGAGCAGGTCCGCTGCTTCAGGGCACCATTCAGCTGATGGACCTCAACCATACTCGCCTTTAACCTGCGAAATTACACAGCCATATTCAGAAGCTGCAGTTCGTATATAACAAATTCTTTTAACATCATCGGGTCGTACATTTTACCTTTGTCCACGAACTTAATCTACAAACATTTACTGTTATACCACTAATGGAAAACTGTCTGGGACAATGCAGCTTTTAGGGTTGCCAGCCGCTACTACCAAATCGTTTACTTTCACTGCACAGTTCGATCGTGGAAAATGGCACAGAATTTATCACTGTCTGTCAATGTTACTCTACATAAGAGGCAAAGCAGTATCGAGGTTGTTTGGCGGATAAGACGAGAGTTCCCTACTATGAAGTCCCTACAACAGCCCGCAACCACAAGGATAATCTTCTGTAATACTGTTAGAAACGGGGCTCAGTTTTACTCCTTGTGTACACCTGATTATTGGCTCCCCCTCCCCACGTTACAAACACCCGCAGGTACTTGGGATTACGTGGATTATATTAAACCCCGGTAAACTCACATCGCTCATAAGTTTCCAGAAGCACCCGGGGCGTTAATAAATGCGTCAAAGTCTTTACTCCTGTTAGAGTTGTGATGGGGAAGGTGTAATAAGGAGTATACTACAAATGAGATTTGATTAAAGTGAAAAGCCAGAGTTGAGGTTGTTAAACCAGATTCCGTTCATCAAAGCTCTCTTAGTCCCAAGAATACGGTGCAGTTTACGAGACATCTGGGTCTTGGAGCCAAAATGTTACATAGACATTATTGTCTCTGATGCTTAGACATGTCGTAAAGGGCATAAAAGTCAGCGTATTTTCCTCCATTCTACTTGCTCCATAACCAAATGTAAGTTTATGAACACCCCGATAGTAAAGGTTTACATGCAACATTACGGCATATCACAAAGGTCACTTTGAATTTGGGAAGTCGTTTTCCAAACTTCAGCGGCGCCATGTTGGACGTGCTACATTACAGCTTGTTAGAGGTTTGCAGCTTCATACGTTTCTTTCGTCGTTATTTTAGTGTCTTCTGTCTGGATTTGACTTTAATAACACTTGGCCCAACCTTCCAAATTTCTAGTGCCATTCCAAAATCAAAGTTTCCTTACTGAATGTTCATAACAGTACAGCACATATGGCCGTTAGAGTGATGTGCTTACCTTGGACTTTCGCAGTAATTGTTGACTGGTTTCTTCATCTCTGAGGCCGGGCAGCGGATGAAAGCTTCAGATGTCTTGGCAGCGGTGGCTGCAACACAAAAGAATACGTTGGAGGAGTGGCGAGTACAATTCATTATTCACACATAATCTTAAAGTTTCAAGGCAGCTCTTGCCATTAAAGGATATCGTCTAGTTGCATCAGGCAAAACGTATTTGACTACATGTATTACAATATATCCCACTATGCTATTGAATTTTTTTATGGTAAACTTGTTTCAACGTCACGAATGAAAGTAGTTTTCTCTTGATACCCAGCATTGGTTGGACGCTCACGCCTGCAGGTCACATGTATCTCTTCATCCTATTACTGCAGCAACAGTAGTTTTCCAATCTACTTGTTTCGGCTTTTTCCTAGCCAGGAAAGGCGAGAGATAGATCTCGTTTCTCGCCTTGAATGAAGGCTAGTCAATCTTTTGATTAAGTCCTGGTTTTAACCCTGTCGACCTTCCTAAATCCCATCAGATCCGGGTAGATACCTTCCATAACAGCGTCTCCGCGCTCTGTCCTGCAGGCCGCCTTTGTTGGCGTTCATTACCGCCGGGAAATATAAATCATTCCCTGACAACCTTTCATCTGGCATTTGTTTGAAGGTTAGGCTATCAGTCCGGGCTCAGGCGCTCCACGCGTGCGGCCCGCCCGGCATCACTCCTCCGCAGACCGCCCTGTGTGGCCACGGTGTTCATGCCGTATTCATTTCTTTCACGGAGATCAAAGATTCCTTTTAAGTCATTCTTTCCCATGTTTAATTCAGATCAGCTGTGAGTTTGCAATGCATGATATAAATGCAAATATGCACTTGTTAAACAAGCACAGTCTATCGTTACTTCACAGGAGGCAGAGTACTCTGGAAGATACGTCTTTCAAGGGATCAAAGCAGCTCTTCAAGGCATACCTTTTCTTCAGCAAGTTCAAGACTTGTCTTATTTCAGACAGTCCGTGGTCACCTCTATAATGCCACCATTAGTCATCTCTTTCTTCATTTTTTTCAGCACATGATCTAAGTCTTCCGCCTTGTCACTTTTGACAGTCTGGGGCAGTGTCCTGGCCGTAGGCTCGTATGTATTCTTTGGGGCAATGACCTCGTATTCTGTAGCTTTTTCTCACTCTCTTTAATAGAAACGATGTTTCTTCAGATTTCTAAAGCACTGTCTAACTGTCTATGGTAATAGCGTACCTGATGTTTTGCGCCTGCGCAACCACCAGCGGAAACAAAACACGATCATGATGAGCAGCAATGTCCCGGATGCAGCTGCCGCGGTGGAGATGGCGATGACCATGGTACGGGAGGCTGAAACAGGTCAAGGGTCATAGGTTAGAACCTCTATCCGAGAGGTCACAACGGGTCATAGGTCAGGCATACTTCGTACATACGTCATTGCAATAGCAAAGTGTGTACTAACACTGGGCAAGTGGTAGTCATTGTTAGTGAGGCTGCAATAACTTTTGATTGATTGATTGATTTTTGATTGATTGATTTTTGATTGATTGATTGATTGATTGGTTGATTGATTGATTGATTTTACCAGAAGGTTACACTCAGGTCATTTAACCTGTTTTCAGGTAGTTCTGGGACAATAGAAATACACAATCAATACGAGAAGTACTATATACAATACAGTTATAATACAGGATAAACCTCTGAGTACATTGTCAGGTGGAACAAGTCAGAGGTGAGTCACGTTCACAGACACTCGACACGTACACGTCCAGACCCGACCCTACATCTCCTCCCAGGCACACATCCATTACACTCTTACCACGGCCCTCGGAGGACCATCAACTTGGTAATGAATTATCCACAGCTCATTCCGCCCTGTTCCAGCCCGTTTCACTTCGCAATGTTAAATCTTTTAAGATAGCTGTCAATTCTACAGGAAATGTCGATATTTCTAACGACGTGTACGGAGCCCGGGGAGGGAGAACCTGGTTAGCTCCGTGCCGCCGACGGTTCCTCTGTGCCGGTGAAATCTTTTCACCGTGAATCCCACAGAAATATGTAGGTATATACCATTGAGCAGATCTACAGGTAGGCTTTTCTGCCTTGAAATGAAGTTTTAATAACATAATCGTTCCTAGCTTCGGTTATGAAATCTAAATTCTAGTGGGAATGTCAGTCGTAACAAAGATGGCGACATTCACCGGTGAAGGAAGCACGTCTTGTGAATTGGACCTGTCAATTGTGACTTTTCTGGACTCTTGAGCTACCAAACAAAGTTTATTTGTGCAAATACAAGGTATTGCAGTTTGGATACATTGTTAATAAAGTTCATTATTTCACTATACCTCCCTATTTGCAATAAAAGTACGTCGTATAAGGGAATTCAACGGCACTATGTTTCAAAAATACGTCTCTTTGCCTGTAGCCACTTTAAAATGTAATACATTTACGGCAGGTTCAGTAAGGTCCGCTGAGAGTGAATACATTTTACTGGCAGGAAGTTATACTGCATTACAAGTTTAACCGCCGTGCTTCTCCCTGGCGAACATTCCATAAGTTGTTATCTGTCTGTATCAATCATACGGCAAAACCGCCCTTCGGCGTAACACACCGGCTTCTCCTGGCACGCAATGCCTGCTCCGCGTATGAGATCAAACAATTTATCATACATAATATAAGCCCTGCAAATCTAACTCGGAGCTATCTCTAATGACAATTCCCCTGTAGTATTCGATGATAACGAGTTAATACAATTTGCAACTGATAACGAACTTGAACTCGTGACGTGAATGTAAGAACAGCTATATCAGCACCTTGGAGAGGGACACCCAATCAAACCAGCGATCTGTTCAACAGCCGTTACCGTTCTCGGTTCCGTCTCATGTCTTTTATCATGTTTTCCCTTTTGTATTCAGTGGTGCCATTGATGTAAGCTTAAGATATTTTGCTGGAATGTGGCAACACTATGTACTTGAGTGTTTTGAATGTTGTAATAAACAAAATATTATTTTGACATCTAACAATGTGAACCACGAGACTGCCAAAGCCCACAATTCAGGTCTGATCTGTACAAGTAACGTGCAAAAGTAGGTGTAAAGTTCCTTTCTAAGGGTCACAACAATGTATTCTTCCATGGATTCGAACCCAGAAGTTCATATTTTAAGTCAACGACCTGAGAACTACATGTACCTTTGACGCTAACTCTGAACTCCTGCTGGTCGGAGCCGAAGATGTTGGTGGCCTTGCACATGTAGTCCCCCGCGTCAGACGCGTACGTGGAGTCAATCCTCAACTCGCTGCACATGACGCTGCCCGCATGCGCAGTGACCTTGACGTGACCCGTCTCGCCGACCTTGTACCTGGCCTCTCCGCCGTCAGGCCTCCTCAGGATCCAGGTGACCTCTGACACGGGGTCAGCCGAGATGTTACAGGTGAGGATGACCTGCTCCCCTTCCGACACGGATATCACTGCCGACTCGCTCAGAACGTCCGGTCTGCCTTAGGTGACAACAACAAACAGAAAAAAACGACAAGTTTGTGATAAACGGTTGTACTGCTAGGGGTGTTCTATCGATCCAGTGACCTGTACTGACACGATGATATTGCTTTTACAGTTTGATCTTTGCCGGGGAATTATAGCATGGCCTCCCGAGAAAGTCTCGCGCACAACTTTTATTTGCCGGCCCCGGAATTGCCGAGTTGTTCGATAAAACTGCCCCGTTTGGCATCGAGCGTCGGGTGAAATATGGATTGCCGCAGCTTTAATCTCTTCAGCCTTTTCACATCCAAACAATTTCGGAATTGCGTCATGCAACATTTCCGGAGGTATCCACCGCCTGCTTAATGATGAAGAAGACCCTGTCCATACCTATTACATCAATTTTGGTCCGTCTTCTCGCCTCCAGGAACGCGTCGTTGTCGGCCACGCACTCGTACAGCCCCTCCGCTCTGTAGTCCATGGGAGACAGGGTGAGCGGGTTCTCATACAGACTGTTGGTGTCGTTCCGTCTCCACCACACCCGAGGTTTGGGGTTCCCGTCAGCCACACACTCCAGCCTCAAGACGTCTTGGCCGTACAAGACGCTGATCTCTGAGTCGAACGTTCTACTTATCGAGGAAGGGTCTAAAAATAGGGAAAGGATTAGACGCGACTCAATAAAATGAAATTGATTGGGAGGATAAGTCTGAAAAAGAGTGGCTATAACAAATGGAAGCTTAGGGTATACTTGCCTAAGCAACATGCATAGCCTTCTTAAATGTGAAGGACATTCTTACAAGAGTCTTGTACGAACGTCCTTCACATTGCAAAAGACTCTGCCAACAAATGGACTTTATCTCCCACCACTCCTAACTACACTCGTGATGCCAGCGCCGAAGCGCCGTGACAAATGAACTTTTGGAAATTGAATGTCAGAACTGCTTAAATGATAATGATTATATAATGCCCACAGGTGGTACGCAATATCAAAGCCAATCAACTCTATGTATATCAAATGAGATCAGTCCCCGCAAACTATCTAGGAAGGAGAGTAGGTCTGCTTGGCGCTAGTTGGTAATCAGGATAACTCGGAAATATAAGTGAATTTTGATAGTATCTTACTTCTGAGGGAATCTTGACTCATTAAAGACGGTACAGATATGAATAAAGATCAGTTCCAATTCCAAAAGATGTCTCTGAGACCTATCTTAATTCAGCTTGCAGGCATAACGGATTAGGTAATCTCATGCACGGGGATTGCTATACAATATCCATACACGCAACCGTGAAGATTCGGATAATAGTAGAGGATGGGGAGGAGGGATGCATGAAGCCCTGAAAAGTAGGACACCTACTCAGCATAGCCTAGTGCTGTTTAGACGTCCGGCTCTACATGTTTGAAGGATGATTGTCCATTACGGGTATGGTTAAATGATATATTGGTGGGATAAGAATACTTTGATTACTTTTTTTAAGTTCTGAATGAAATCAAATTGCTATGTTCCAAATTCAGTATTTCAACTGCGTTGTCCGGTAGTTATATGTCTGGTGAATATGTGCCTCAATGTAATCATGTAAAATTACAATCTATGTGTGTGACTGGAGCAGATGTCAATTCAGAATCTAATAAACAACCTCTGACTAGACCCCAAACATCATCCACACATCTGATGATAGATCCCTTTGGCTCAGTGTGTGCGGTGGTATTGATGACTTAAAATGACTTATAAACCTACAGAGAACATTTAGGTTGATGAGTCCCCTGGCGCCCTGCCCGACACTGCTGTCCGCCTCACACTGGTACGTGCCGCTGTCTGACCGGGACACCACCGGGATGTGCAACTCCTGGCCTCTGGAACATCAAGGACAGATGGTATGAACACAGCACATGATGGGACTGGAATATGGACTATGTACATGGATTATGGTACAGTCTGCAAAGTCTTGTGTATGTATGTAATTGTTATATACAATGCCATGTGTAACATGTGTTGCCTAGGGCCCCTCTGTAAATCAGTGATATGTAAGATGGGCCGCCATGGCTAAAGAAAACAAAAATAAACCCATCCATTATTCCCATCCATTCACCATTCCGATAGCCGTAGGGGCAGCATAGCGTTCAACTAAAGATAAATACATGAATAGATAAATAAATACTAGTTCTTTTAAAATGAGTACACGATGCAAAATGTAGACACTTTGCAGATGACTCTCCGGCATTTTTTGTGATCCTAAAAGGTAAATTTGTGACCCTAGCCATCGGCAAATGTTACGGAGTGAATGAATTTAAGACACAGATCCTATAATTGCGCGCTTGTCTGCAGAAGCTGAGAGGATGTACATGACGTTGATGCTGCAAAGTACAGCCATTTCATCTGCTCCGTAATGCTGTATGAACCTCTCCTCAGGTAGGCAAGTCTCACCAATCATACGTATCACCGAAAACCACTGGGGACGAATGACGAGAAATCGTTCGAGTAGTCTATCTCGGAGTCTTTCTTCTCCCCATTCGTATTGATTCAGCCTGTAACAGGTATCGTTTACATGGATGTCTAGCCTTTACAAACGCACCCTACCCTGTTATTACTGCGCTGATTGGAACATGGCGGCCAGCCAACGTTAGAGCGCCATATGGGATCGACCTGTGTGACGTCACTGCCAGGCGTCATCAAAAGGTTGGATAGCAGCTATGGCAGGGAAGCTCTCGGGCCTAATGAGAATTTCGGTTCCATTGCCAATATTGGAAGATTTCAATGGATGATGATCACTCAGACAACTCCGTGTGATGTTAGATAAAGGGTAAAGGTTAGGGGAATGATTGAAGCCATTGTGGTTCTTACTTCTGGTATTAGTCAAGAAGATGTTTGATGTTCATGCCCCCCGTTCTTTGCTAACGTGTTTTATTTTGTTCATCGTTAGGGCAAGTCCCTTGTCATATTCACAAGATAACTCGGAAGCCCTGGCTGCATGTCCTGTTGGCATTTTTAACACTTTTTTGCAATAATTTGATGTCTTAATCAGGTCATAGACCCTACTTTTTTTTGCCCTGCGATGGCATAGTACCTTTCGCATTTGTTGCGGTGTGATGCGTTGCACGAGAAATACCCACCCACCCCAAATCCTACATATACAGAAACCCATATATATGGGCTCCACAGGACAAGGGTTAACAACCGAACCAATGAAATGAAAGTAAGATAATTAGTTTACCAATACGTACCTGACCTCCAGCCTTGGGGGTAGATGGTCCCCGAGTCGTGACCACGTGATGTCGGAGACCGGGTTACTGTCCACCAGACAGGTAAGGTTGGCGGAGCCGCCCTCCACTACTGTGATCTGGGGTCGTGGCACGGTCACCGCGGGAGGATCTGTGAGGAAGGGCAACAACATTTCTAAAACCTGCACAATGCACTCTAATGGCATGATAATATATTATTTGTTTTGCACTAGAACATAGGCACACTTTTTCTAATTCACAAATTTGTTTCTTGTATGTTCAGATCTAGACTGAAGGATGTTTATGTCCTTATATGACAAGTCGACCTTACTTTACCAAGCTGATAACCAAGTACTTGAACCATACGAAAGCATGCCAACCTCTTCAGGCAGTTCTCAATATCAGGAGCACTCCATGCCAAACCCGGGGGCGAGTACTCGGTCTCCATTTGATAACGTCGCCTCATGCATACTTGAAACTTCAGAGGATAAGGAGCAAGAACTACATATCAAATAGACCTTACGAAACTTTTTGGACACCCAGCAGCGTTCACTAAATCTTCAGCCCCTCAATATCAAGTATCATGTAGTCCATTTGTGGATAAAAGTGTCCCGTATTCTTACTTCTTTCCACTACTGCACAAGGCAAAGAAATTGAAGTAGGCCATGGGCATGACGCCAAGCCGATCTCTCCAAGCGCCAACCTCAAGGGAAGGGGGCGGCAATGGACCATCTTTAGTGGATGAAGTAATTCCTTATTCGCAAGACTAGAAAGAGACGAAGAAGAAGCTAATCTATGTACAAAAGAACAAAAGAGGCAATGACAAAATCCCTGAACGTTCAGCAGCTTTTATACTTTATCTTATCTCCAACACTGCAGTCTATCTATGGCTGATAATAAATGAAGAGAAACTTGAACTTGAGATACAGGGTGTGACAAACACCGCGTGTGCATTCCAGCTCTCTTGGCGTATCTCCATCTTCCTAACTCACGGGATCCAGCAGCCCATCTCTAGCTAATAAAGTAACGCCCTCGCACAGCTACACACATCCAACACCCGGGAAGGTGAAGAACTTAAACTTCACATGAAGGAAACGGTGACAAACTACGCGGGCCCATTCGAACTCTTGTGCTACATGTGCGTCACTCCAACCCTCGGGGTGTGATAGTCCATCTGTAGCTGAGAATATGAAGAAGTTGAACCCTACACCAGGAAGACCATGACAAACTCCGCGGACGCCTAGCGGATTCTGTGTAATATATCCTGCACTCCAACCACCGGGCTGAGATACTCCATCTCTAGCTATACCACTCACGCGTGGTGAACTGTAGCCCAAGGCGTGCTCAACAAGGATCTGACGCTAGTAGCGAGGAGGAGACCTTAATGGGGGTAATGTATTAAGGCGCAAATGTACCATCGGCAGCGTGTATCATCGACGGGACTTATCTGGTGCAAACATCAGGCTTATTCATCTGCAGTAGTGACTGATGCTGATTCTGGTAGAAGATACTGTTTGTCAATAACACTACTAGAGGCTGCTGTCCACATAATTGGCTAAGGCCGCTGTTGGTATAAGATACTGTTTGTCAATTACGTTACTACAAGTAGAAACTGCTGTAGAAGTGTCTGAGTCCAGTACCGGTAAGAGATACTGTATAATACTGGTTTATTTCTTTCATACTATGCTGTACAGAGTAGCAGGGTCCCCGCAGGGCCCTGAATTGATCTGCCGCATTACAAATTGTTAAAAACGGTTGGCACAAATATTAAAAGCAATTATTGAAGACAGTTAAAAACAGCAATTATTAAAAGTATTTACAGTATGTCAATAGCACTATTCCAAACTGCCCTCTGCAGACGTGGTTGATGCCGCTACTGGTAAGATGTGTTGTATTTCAATATTGCTACTACATACTGCCCTCTACAGTAAAGACAGGGGCCACCACTGTTTAGAGATATGCTTGAACATGTATAATACTGACCAGCCGATATCTCTGGCCTAAGGTGATATTGCTACGAGATACACTTGTATGTCCGTCAAGTCCAGTACAAACAGCCCTTCACGACAAGGTCTGTCATATACGATTATGTTTTCTTGGAATATCGACCGGAACGAAATATTGTAATTTGTACGTCTGATGCGTCTTACATCTGATTCCTGGTGAGAGGATGGGAGCTATAACCACCCGACACTTCTCCGTACTGACGTCCTTCAGGACTAATAAAGCATCAGTTTTATCACAGTGTGGGGGAGAAAAGTATGATAAATGGTGTTATTTTAGCTATCACGTGACGTTGTCACCTCTCGGTAGGATGATCCATGGCGGTTTATTATCTCGCATCTCGTTCCCAATGGTTCTGAGTGAGTGCTACAGACCCACCGACACATCCACACGAAGGGATTGTTCAAAAGTTGCAGTACCTTAATGGAACTTCCTGCGAAGTTCGCACGAAACATAACCCTCTTAGCAAGATATAGTGCAAGTCATCTACGTATGAACGAATTACACTGTACGCCGCGGGGTCTTACACTCATAATAGCTGTTGCAATCTGACATCTGAGAAATCTATCCGCAATCGATAGATGTTCCTACTATAAATCACTACAATCACTACATTTCAAATGTTATCCGCCATCTTTTTGTCAGGTTTTTTTTTTTGCTGAACGTACATAACTCGAATTCGGAATGGAAAGCTGGTTCGCAGAAGCTGTAACTGCCATCCTCTGCTATTTGTTCACCACGACTGATGTTATTGTTGTTAACATTATGTGTTATGTGAACGCCCGCGGCTGGGGCCCAGTTCTATATGCATATCTATAAGATATCATGTCTGTATCCATGATACTTATCAAGAGACTCATTGGCGAGGCCATAACAACGCAGACAAATCTCCGGTCAGTTTGGTCAAGGCCATACAGGCTGTTGAGAATGTATGGCCCCGTTGATTGAGCCCCACTGATACATAGAACAACTCTGACTCCCCCTTTCCACAACTGTACATGGTCTGGTCCTGTACAATTCAAATCACCACCCCTCCTCCACAGAGACACATGGTTCGGTCCGGGGGTTTCATGTACTTGACATTATATAAACTTCACACTCGATTCACTACCATCATTGTACCAGGTTAGAGTGTAACTATTGACCACGGCCTTGTAAAATATATTCCATACTGAAGATATGATTTAATGTCCAACTAAAATGACTATAAAAACTACAGAGCAGAAAAAACGACTGCATAAAATGTATCTGCAACGAACTGATAAATCTTTTGATGGGTTTTTGTGCCATAATATTTTCTATCAGCTACAAAACTGGACTGGGTACCAGGAAATGAAAATGAAAATCTTTTGATACCGGTAGAATGATATGGCCCTTTTTCATAAGAATGAACCTACATTCACCTGATAGAGTTTTAATGGGTTTTGAGTCACATTATTTTTTGATAAGCTAAAAACGTATTAGAAATAGGAACTACTTTATTTTTAATTGCTTGGAGTAATGAGGAACAGAATGCTGATCGAGTTTGAAGTAAATTTTTATGTCACAAAATAACAAGCTCTAATATTGTGTATTAAAAGTCATCACGGTGCCAAACAGTCCATGTTATATTCTGATTTATTAGCTAACTATCAAGCTGGCCTTAAAACGTGCGGCAAGTTCCAAGAAAATGAAAAAGAAAATCTTTTGATACCGTATTATAAGGACACTTCATACGATAGTATCATAGAAATATATCAACTGTAGTTATGAACTGATGTGTTGGTGGATACTGTACTGTGTTTTAAGATTTGTATTTCTATCAGCTCTTCAATGTCTAGGAAATTAAAACCATTTATTTTCTTTCAAAAGTAGGGATTTGGAGAGAAATTATTGTTGTTGTCATTAGCAAAACTGTATTTGACATGCTCATATGACGCCGTCATTGGTGCAGAACACTGCATATTGGATACTAGTTTACTGACTAACAATTAAAGTGACCATAAAAAAAACTAGAGCAGATACGAGGAAATGAAAATCCTTTGATATCGGGAAAACACGACACTCTTTTCATAAACATGTATCTATAATGAACCGATTTATCTTTTATCGGAATTTTGTACCTTGATGATTAAGTCTACAAAGGAAAATCGTTAATTGTTTGGACAAGCACATAGAAAGTCGCCAGTGGTGCAGAACACTGCATATTGGATCCAAATATTCTCTCTAGGAACGTTGTAAAATTACATGTATAAAATAGTAAAAACCTAAATCCCTTGCTGCTTTGACGTTTTTGTTGGTCATTTGTGCAAACATATATATGATCAGATTGATAAAGCGTATTGGAAATGTTGATAACGGCGAGCATACTCAGCACGGCAAAGTTTTTGGTCGTATACCAAATGTGAAACTATCGCCGTCTGATCAGATTTGATATAGAATATATTGGACACGACCATAATGAGTCAGTATTATTGTGTAGAATACTTCATAACGGATGCTGATTTATTTTCTCACAGTTAAAGAGACAATAAAACTCACAAAAAGCACCAATCATATCAGAAGTTAGATCTTTCATTACTGAAATAGCCAATGTTTTTCATAGGACTGTAAAAGTCAGCTTCGGTAGTTGACTGATGCTATTTATTTGGTATTTGTGCCGTATCGTGTGTTTCATCAGTTCCACAACGTGTTGGGAATAACACTTTGAACGACTCATCCTATTTCTTTCCTTTATAGCCAGAATGTTCAATTTGGAAGCAAACTTTTCCCTCTTAGTCAGTCTGGCCACTTAGACACAGTAGAATTACACAGTCGCGGTGAATGCCCCGGTACAGTCATTTGCCTTGCCCTTCAAAGTTTGATCTCTAGATACCGTACTGAAGATTCCATGGGTGTTTCTACTGTACAAATTGAGACACCTGCAAAGTCCCCTTTTCACAGAATGGGGACCATTGGGCAACCGACGAGTGACTAAAATCATTGAGATGATTGGGAAGTTATTGGATGACCAGAGAAATAGTTGAGACATCTTTGGAAGACCTTGCAGCGGCGTCTCAACAGTCTCATTTCAGCAGGAATCTCCACATAAGTACTCTGGGTACGTAGATGTAGATGTCGTACGTCAGTGGATGGTGGGACACACACAGAGAGTACGAGTCACCAACA